AAAAAAAAGAAGAAAAAAGTTAACATTTGAGCTCGTAAGTTTTAAAGACTCCTGAACATCGTTGGCTCGATAGTATAATATTATTTTCAGTATATAATTTTTCTTAATGTTCCATTTTTTCATTCTTTCCGTCGTCCCTTTTATTGATTTATTTTCTTCTTTCTTTCTGCCTTCTATTGTTTTTTCTATCTCCTCGACCCCTTTCTGTCATCTTAATGTTATCCTTTATAAATGTCTTAATTTATCTTGGGCTTTGACGATTTAATAAGATTAGTATGGTTGATTAGAATGGTTTGCAGTCTACTACATACACATATTTTCTGTCTTAAGTTGTTATCATGATAGTTATTTATAATTGATTGGCATAGTAAGCTTATCACACTAAATTGAAGATGCCATACTAAGATACAAAAGTACCACCAATTACAGCAACAAAAACAACCAATACTTTAGCAATCTAAATTTCAAAAAAAAAAAAAAAAAGATTAATTCACGAGAAAAAGAATATTAAAACAGAAAACTATAATAACATAATTCAAATAACGGTAGAAGCCTGCCCCATAAATCAGTAAAACAAACTTTAAGTAAATGTTTGCATTGCTCTTTAAAAATTCCTTAACTAACCATTTTTGAGGCTTTAAGAACGGCTGTTATTGGCAACCGCTTCAGCAGGTCATGGCATCTCAGCTAATTCGAGCACATTTCTATTTAACAAAAATGCCTTAGTTATTACCTAGCAACCTAGTGCCGAATTAATCATTCAATAGTTCAAAATGCAGCTACTGATTCACTTTCAAGAACTAAAACTAAGAACTTCCACTGTCAAAGAAATAGTATTAGACCGTCCGAGAACACAGGCTGAAAAATAAAATGAAAATGAATTACTGAGCATCAAGATCAACTGAATAAAGATTTCACCGTACATCTATTGAACTCATTTATGAAGCTATTTTACTCAAGCTGTGCGCTGCACGACTGATTCCATCAATTTTGGTGACAAACTCTCCCACTTTGTCAGCGGTTGGCGCTCAAAGGTCAAAACAAAAAACAAAAGAAGAAAAGTTGGTGGTGAAACAAACTCGATACCGGCACCTTTGCATATCATGACACACGGTACTGAAATAAAAAACGTTTAAAATCGTATAACAGATGTTACAATCACATGTGCAACTGGTACATTTCAAGACTCTTCACAGTCCGGAAACTATGCTAGTACTGCTAATGAACGCGAAGAAGCACGACGCCATAAATAACGCAGCAATCTACGACGCACTTGAATGGCTTTTATGTAACACGGGATTTTTTCACAGCCAAACTATGTTGCATAGTAAACTCATTGTCACGTGACTGACTAAGTAGTAGCGCTCTCCAGCAACGCTGGAGCTCGTAGTTTACAATTAGATTTGAAATTGCTTTTTGCCCATCTTATGCCTCCCTGAATACGACAGAGGCACGCAAACATGAACACTCGGTTGTGGGGGAAGAGTTAAGGACGGAAACTGCTAGTTTGTTATAGTTGATCAGGGCATTTCTACATTCCTTAAAAAAGAGTGAAAAAAAGAACAACATTATGTAGTGATGCGCGTGCACGTTGATCACAGGAGGTAAATTGAGGCAGTCACGTCTTTCCGATCTGGCATCCATACCCCTCGCTATCTTCCTATGATAATAACCGCAGTGTAACGAGTAACGAAAAGCGCATGAAGTTCGCTTCCTGCCGGCTTTATGCCTTGCACCGCCAATTCCTTTACGAAAGTCTGAAAAAGTGAAAGAAAAAGATCTATAATTGCAAGTCCACTAGACCTCACGCACGCCATTCCATACGGCTTTATCTCCCAGAATCCTACCCACCACACACATACAAATGAGTAGATTGTAAGTAAACTTGCTTCCGTTCAACTCACAGGACTTCTAGAAGAAGCAAGATATATGGGCTTCAATAAAATGTAGCAACATGAAATCTGTTCACAAATGTTGTAATGTAAGCTTTTGAAAACGCGATTACTAAATGGAAAACCGAAAATGCAGCGAGAAAAAAAATGCTCTTACTGGCTTTGAGTATATTTTGATCTGAATTTATGCAAGGGGAACGGTGTGGAGTCACTTTTCTATTTCTCACGAAATTCAGAAGCTGGTCAGTAGAAATTGGTATATCTCAGTTGTGATTATTTATTAATTATTCCTCTCACCACTGGAGGAAATGATTAGTATTCGTAAGTACTCGATGGCACTGAACACACATAATAGTACATGAAAACAATGCATTCGTTGTCTTTTTATAGAACTCCAAGGAAATGAAAAAAACCACAGTATCGTTTCGTTATTATAAGATCAAAAAAGGTCTATATATAGTTCATTTAAAGATAGTCCAATTTTTATAGGATTTTTTATTCAAGCTTAATATTTATAATTTCATGCAAAGCCTCTAATTGTAAATCTATTTGCGAATTTCAAAAAAAAAAAATTCTTCTTATCAATGGCAAGTTTTGATCCAGACGGTAGCCCCCGAGCCTACGTGGCCTCGAGTTCGTGGTTTTTCGAAAGTGCTCATTGCGCGTTCGTATTGGTCACGTAGAGTTGACAGATCTGGATATTTCCAGATGAATCGAATGCTTTGCAATCTTGATATTGGACTAATCAATCAATCGGTGCCTAGATACAACATTTAATGTCCAAGTAATCAATGATATACGAGGCTGTTGTCAAAAACGGAAGGCTATATTGATCTGAAATTTGATGGAATTTCGTTTGTGTACACACTGGACTCGTGTTGGCTGAAGAAAAGCTGCTCGCGGGCAAACATGTGAGAATCGAGAATTAACGGATACTGAAAAAATTGTCGCCTCAATCAATTAACAATATTTAGTTTCTCCTCGAATGTCTGTGTATTTTTCGTATTCTTACCTAAATCAATCGCAGTACGTAAAACTGATTCAGGCAATACTCGTAATATTAAGCATCGATGTCAAGTAATTAAAGGATGTCGAGCTCTGCAGATGCTTATAAGTACAGGTACATGCTTTAGGTATCTGAAAGGCCAGTCAGAGTGACGCCTCTAAAGTGTGTTTGGTGCTGCGAATGGTAACGTTTTCGTCAGAATGGCGTCAAACAATTGCCAGGGAGATACGGCGTTCTAAAACGGTTGATCCCGCCTCTTTTCGCGTTTGCAACCGATATGGTGTTCTTATTTTGACTTTTCTTTTGATTTGGACTTGATAACTGCCGTCAGTCTCACTCTCTGTTGCAATTGAATAAATAATGAACACAATCAGCTCCGTAAGACAATATAAAGCTCTTAGCCAGGCCTTGTACTAATTTGTCCCCATGGCAAAAAAGAGTCTTTAAAAAAATCATCAATTAAATTCGTGGTCAAAAAACCTCTTTATTCAGGAAAAGTGAATTTCTTTGTGATTGATGATAAAGCTGTTCCATCTTGTAAGATATACTGGCCGGATTTTAATGGTTTGTGAAGTGTAGGGGGTGGGAAAATGGATCAAACAAGGGCCTTGATAATTTATCTGGTGCTTTCTTCACTGTTATCTGCGTAAAATACTGAAGTTATCACCGATTCTTCCGGGGGTGTAAAAAGGGGGATTAATATCGAGCGATAAGGTTAGCACCATTAATACTTACTGTTGCTTCATTGCATCGAAGAAGTATAGTTTTTTGGACGAACAAAATTGATAAAATCTATTACTTTCTTCATTGTATAATGAGCTTCTGTTTAAGGTTCTGACCTACCCGTGAAAACTGCGGCTAAAATTACCAATCTGTTACAAGTGGCATTTCTTTAGGTATTAAAAAAATGAATGTAGACAACAAATCGAATATACCAACTTTTAGAAAGGATTTCTCAATGTTCTGGTTGTTTGCGCAAGTGGTTAGTGCTGAACAAGCCATGACCATAACAAAAGAAAGAACGCTATGGTTTCTTTCAGTAGATATAGCTCATGATCGTGATTTGCCTTGTGGTATTTGTGGCGTAGAAGTTTGTTGCAAGGATGCCTAGGAAACAATTTGAAAAGAAGCCATTCCTCAAAATTTCCTATATTTTTGTGTTGTGTGACTCAATATTGAAGCGAAAATGAATTCAGTAGTAAAGCATCAAACATCCGAATTCTCTGGGCACATTTGAGTGAGTGGAAAGGATATCAACAAGGGCATGCATTGTGTCACTTGAGAATTCCAAACGGAAAAGCAAACCGGAAACACTTAGCTGGATAGAAATCTCCTGCTAATCACGGTATCGTACATCGCCATGTTTTGTTCCTCGTTTTTTTCAGGCAAATCATCATACTTTGCTTCATACACCCCAAGGAACATGAACCCCTTGGAGTTTGATTTAAATAGGAAACTGTGAACCAATTTATTTTCTCTTCTCCCACGAGAAAAGCCACGTGCAAGCCAAACGAATATGTCATAAACGAGAAGCAGATAAGACTTTGATTGGCAGCTGTCAAATTACTGTCGTGAGTGCTGGCAGCTCGAGCCACTAAATGGGTTTTTATTGAGTGTGATTCTACAAGCCTCCACAATTACTCTAAGTTGTTTGTTTAAAATTTCATTTACTTGACGTGGCCCTGCTTAGTATCTTGTTGCTGGTGAACAGTCGTATCTTTTTTTCTTGTTCGTTTGTCTTGCTGTCGTAACGCTTAAGAGGATTCCCTCCCCCTCTCTTGACCTCCTATCGTTAAGGTTACCAAAATAACGTCTTCCAACTCCTTAATAGCCTCGCGAGAACTCTACAGCAAATGTAAGTGTTTACAATGAACGAGACATTTCAATAAATGGACATATACCATTTAGAAAAAAACCTCTTGACAAATCATACCACTTTTGAAAGGCACTTTCAAGGGCTTAATTCACCACAATACGTTCATTTTTCTTTTAGGCTAGAGAGAGGGTTAGTTTTGGTGCATACTGTAAGACTCGAGCAAGCGTCGTTTAGTCTAGGAGGGTTAAATCTTGGGTCAACGTATGAGCGATACATGAACCACACACTTTTTTGGCACTAGTTTTTTGCATGGAATTGAGACACACTACTGCGAGGGGAAGTCAACTATTTCCTCTTGCGTAGACAGTTCGTCGGATACTAAACAGTGAATGTCCACAGACCCCACGACTGACAGGGGCAGCTCGGTATCTAGAATCGAATTACACGAAAGAGACACTAAGAATCAAAAAACCATCATCCGAAGATTACAGTTGACGTGGGTTTACGAATAAACTGGAATTCACTAAGAGAGTGGTAGGAATAGGAAGTGATGTGTGTATGTGTGTTTTTAGGGGGGTATTCAGATAGATCAAGTCTCTTTATCTTGCACCATCAAGATGGTTGGTCCGCATTATCAGGTCTGAAATGACATACTAACCAATGTGTGCTTTTGTTTTTCTTGATGTCTAATTAAAACGATGACAGCTCAGGGACAGCTCACGGCCTGGAACATACAGAGCACCATTTTCACCGACTACAACACTACTAATGAGCTCGCAAACTAGCACTCTTTTTGAACCTTTGTAAATTTCATTCCTTTCTCTCTCAATAGTGCAGATTTGAAAGTGAGCAAGAACGAGCGTTCAGAATGGCAGGGATGTTTGGTAGACTTCCACCATATCCAATGAATGGCCTCAACTATCCTTCGCCAAACTTTGACTATTTCACCGCAGAAGCGCATGGCCAGATGTTTGGTAAGCATGCTTAGGCTCACTATACTCTCTAGAATTTTATAATTTTTACTTCTTTAATGAAATCTAAGTTCTATGGAACAGCAGTAAGGGGTTCAGCAAGAGGAAATATCAACAATCACTTCATGTTCTCAGCGATCGACTCTCTTGATGAATAGATTGACGATCGTGCAGATCGTGAGGCAAGAGAGTGAGAGTATACCTAGCTTCGCTTGCTCTAGAAATGAATATAGAGGAACCTTTCTTTTCTAAGTACGAACACTGCTGTTCCTAGATGCCCGTGTTGTCATTGTATTTATATATTCAAAATATTTGTGTCATTGAAAAAGACGAACAAATGATTACGTTTCACAAAACCACAATGCGTCTTCATCGCGATCAAACCAACCAGCACAGTGCCGTGAATGATTTGATTTCCCTTCTCGCTCTAGAGCCTTCGGTCGTAGCGTTTATTCACCATGAACTGAAATTTATCCTTTTAGCATTTGTTGTTATTTGAAAATCCACAAAAAAAGGCAAAAACTCCGTTCAAACAGAACGACAGTCTTGAAAATCTGAGCAATATGGCTCGGTTTGCAAACGTGCAGGTGACAACGAATACATTAGGGACTCCCTTAAGACCGATCAAAAGATACAAAATGCACCCCGACCTAGAAATATTTACTCCAGGGAAACTGTTACAAGAATGGAATCAAAGAATTTAGAAATATAAGGGGTTGCGATTTCTTCGACGACAAAACAGATTGCTGTAATATACCGGTTAAGGCTTTTGCTGTTCAGGAATTATTAGGAATCCATCTGAACGTTCCAGGAGTAAGAACGTATCTTGAGTAATTCGAGCATTTCAGCAAGGGCTTTTTTACAGTCACTCGTTATTCTTTGTAKTGAACAATTAACAAACGGTGTGAAACTGTAAATTCGTCTCTTTGTGGAATGTTTTACGCAGTCTGGCTTGCTGTGATCAGTCTTCTGACCGACGTACGGTGAGCAATGTGGTTTGAATTTCTTCGCGATGATTCAGAAAAGATCTGTTGACAAACCCGGCTTAGAGTAGCCGTTATTGTGTACACGCACATCAAAAGAAAAGCAAAGGAAAATTGAACGTAGATGAGCCAGAAAACAAGAAAGCAAACACAGTTTACTGTATAAACAATTATTAAACAATTTCGTGCGGTGACAATGAGTTTGCTAAATAATGTTTACCTTGGAGTTGTCAACATTCGAACAGGCAAATAACCTTTAAGAATCACCAAAATCGAGAGAAAATAAGTAAAGTAAGGGCCTAAGTGCAGCTATCTTTCTGGCATCTTTTTGTTTCTTTTTTGAGTTTTAAAGACGCATTGYCAGTGTGTTTGTCTTTCTGGTTATTCTTCATGCTAACGGTGGGGTTCCAGTAACGTCTTGATTGATACGATAACATGCTCGATACCTTGATTTAGGAAAGCTAACTTTATTACCAAAAAGTCAATACTTCTTTAAAAAAAAAAGATCCAAAATAGACTTTACTTTAAGCCACCTCATTTAATCTTGTGGCCGGGTTGTCTATCTTATACTGATACTGAATTTACTTTAGCAAATCTAGGTTATCTAATTGCTGGTCAAATAAACTAATATTATCCTTCGGAGCTAACGCTTTTACGTTCAAATATATAATCACTTTTCTTGTGGACTTTTTTTGGGTTTTTCTTTACGTTATCAGAGCCTTATCAGCTAAGCTTTGTTTCTTACTCGTTTAATATCATCCAGCACTGCCCTAAATAAATGTGTCTAATGTGTTATCAGCACTGAACACTACAAGGCAGAACACTCCCCAAAACCAATGCCTCTAAGATTTGACGAACAAAAAATATCTTGTTTTTATGTTTATTTATATTTTTTACTCTTACGTTTTACGGTGATCAGCTTTTGATTTTTCTCTGCGATTCCAATACAACTCGATAGCCTACACATCATAAAGGAAAATAGTTCTGGCCTTTATTACACTGAAATCCTTTGATTTGTCTTCGATGTCTTACAAGGTTTAAAACCAAGTCCCTGGGAAAACAAATTCCAGCCTTATGGCAAGCTTATGTGATAAACGTCGAGTCGATACTTTATTCATAGGCTTTAGAACTCTGGATAATACTACTTGGTGGACTTTACTAGATTCATAAAAAAGATGCCCCTTGATAATCAAAAATGTCGTCGAAGAGCACATCACGCCCCTCCTTCCTATGGCTATTTTGGTATCTTTATCGTTTGGCCTCCATGCTCTGTGGTTATTTTAATATCATTTATCATTTGCCCGGTCAAAGGGGATTTCAATCAAAAAGCTGTTTTATGTTCTCTATTTCAGAATTTATATCCATGAGATCGGTAGTTGGTTATTTGGCTTTGACAAAATGCAATCGAATAAGCACAGCAGGCTTTCTTTTGTTACGTTGTGTTGAATATTCCATTTGCTGCACATCCGAGTCTCTTTTCTTTTTTAAACTGATGATACATACTAGAAAGTAAGGATACCATTAAATGTCGAATTTGGGCCTAAGGAAGATAAAAAAATTGTCCTTTTTTAATATAGAGCCTGACAAATCAAACCAGAGAGGCCTTTCCAATGAAACAAAATACGATCAACTTTTAGACTAAGCATGGCTAATTTCCCCCCTTCAAAATGTCAGTTCAATAAAATTCAATCCTGCCAAATCTAGTAATCTACAACTTTAACTTTTTTTTAAGAAAATCAAAATTTGATCAGCACAGTCTTCGATTTACTAAATTTTGTGTTTCTCCTGGTAATATCAAAAGGTTTTGTAAAAAATTTTAAAGCCGTTATGAAGCCTCCTTCAAGCACTGCATAAATTAAAAATGTTTGGCCCTTGAACAGGGCGGAGTAGCKGAAAAGCTTTGGTTATTGTGGTAGAAAGCGGACCACGTGATATTAAGTGGCACTGATCTATATGATATAAGGTTTTTCCCGTCTTTCCTGGCTCAATGGTCTTATAAGAAACAATTCCTGTAAGAAATAAATGTAACGGTAATTTCCAAATGGATCTAGTGTCGCTTTACTCGATTCTGCGGGGTGCACTTCATTGGTCTTTTAGCAATAAAAGCAATGAAATTTGGAACAAGATCGATGACCAAAAATATTAACAAGATTAAGCCATTCTTTTTGTAAAACTAAAAAAGGCCTTGACCTCGAAGAGATTTGAGCAAGAATTGTTATCAACAACTAAGGAGGCTAAATGTATTTGGTACAAAATATATTTTCATCTCTTAAAGAATTCTTCTTGCTATTGGTAAATATTTCATGTCGAAGAATGATTTTACATGGCCGTACAGTGAAACGTTTTGTGAATAGTGAGTAAGTCGATGTAAAACAAAAGAAAACAATGGAATTAGTTTCTACTATATGCTACGCTTTTTTTCACTTGCAAAGTAAAATCGTTATTTACTTGTACATCAACGCTACGTTCGCGAAAACAGGAAAATCTAAGACCACCAGCGGTGGAAAAAATTTATGAATTATTCGAGTTCCCCATCAAGGTTTACTAAAAAAACTATCTTTATTTTCTTGGAGCGTGTTGAAACAACGTTCAAAATTCTTGAGGAATTCTAGTTTTTGTTTTTCTCGTTGGAGTGTGTTATTCTTACTTACTACAAGAATAGAACAAATGTGTTAGACAACGTTGCAAAAGATAGACATCATGTGACTATGGTATTTCTTTGCGAAAACAAGTCGTTGAGTTATTGGAAGACTTTACCTAGTACAAAACCAAAAAAAAACTCCTTCAAAATGTTGCCGATGAATCAAGGTTCCGCTGAAGACCACAAAACACATTTTCAACGTAAGTCTCTAAGCAATTGATTTGTTTTTCAAACTGATCCTATATTTTCACTGATGTGTTCAGCAATTGGTGAAGGTGAAAATTCTTTCTTTTAAGACATTGGCTTTTTCCACTTAGCTGCATTTTTGATTATTTTTATGAATCAGTTTGCCATCTTGGTACCGTACGTCCAGACTACGATTAAGGCATCGACATATAATGATGATTGCGTTTGAGTTTTCCATCTTTTTGTCCTCTCTTCCCCTTCAAAGTATATTTCTGTCATAAGATGTTGGGGAAGCATTTTTTGAAGGTTGAAGCCCTAAGAAATATCTCACCATAAACTATAGAGCCACGATAATTAAAGTTTTTACGAAACTCAGTATATAGTAATGACGATCAGAAGTTGGTGGCATTTTTGGGGCAATCGGAGGTAATGCATAACCAAGTCAAAATAACTAAAATATAGCTCGATTTTTAGCCTAGTGTAGGGTTGCAGGCTGCCTTAGTTTTGCACTTCATACACCCAACAATAATGATCATTCCTGGGCATTTAACGTCTAATTTAATCATACCAAACGCTGTACTGTGCTGGTAGATTATGTAGGCAAGGACTGTATATTTTGAAAATAGCTATACAGGAGTTAAGATCTTATTCTAGTGGACCTCCCACATTGATGCGAACTCGCTAATTCACCAAGAAAGCTTTTTAAGCACTTGTAGTTCATAATTATAAAAGGAACTGCTTGCAAGGAGCACACTGCCTCGGGCTCATTGCTACAAAGATCTTCGTATAAGGCGTAACTGCATTATTAATCATGAAATTTCTCGTTTGGTTCATGCGTTAGCAGTTCAAATCCTTATTTGCGGACAGATAAGTGTCTTTGTTTAAAGTAACTGGTCTAAGATGCACATTTTATTTCTTAAAAGATTATCTTCAGCTAATTATCATGAAAATTGTAACTTATTTTCGAAATTTGAAGTGGCATCCACTACATTCTTCTGATGCTAAGAATATTGCCATTTCCCCACAGGGCCACCAAGAAAACAACGCAGAGAAAGAACTACCTTCACAAAGAATCAACTTGAGATTCTCGAGGAACTTTTCGCTAAAACTCGATACCCGGATATCTTTATGAGGGAAGAGGTTGCTATCAAGATTAATTTGCCTGAATCAAGAGTACAGGTGAGGGAGAAAGATATTTTTTTAAACAAAAGTGCCAGCACTACGCCAGTTTACAGCCTGTTTGTTTTCTTTACTCTGGGATGTAAGGTTATGCCTCAACTTTACTAGGAAAAAAATGGAATTATTCGTTTCGTCGTTTGACGTTTCATGATTTTGAATATATACTTTGGATACATTTTCATAACATTTTTACTCAATGACCTAGGGAACTAAGGTATGAAATGTATGGGGCACACCAAAATAAACGAACTCTAAAAACATTTTTAAAGCATCCTTTGTGGTATTATTTTGTGGCTTTGTGTGATTTCGTGTTTCCTGGCTATATTGTTGATGTATTGTACTAATCCTACCGGTGATGGTATTGTGCACGTGGTGATGGTGATGGTGATGGCAGTGTATCAGTAGTGACATTGTACTAATCCTACCGGTGATGGTATTGTGCACGTGGTGATGGTGATGGTGATGGCAATGTATCAGTAGTGACATTGTACTGATCTCAATGGTGATGGTATTGTGCACGTNTTGTGCACGTGGTGATGGTGATGGTGATGGCAATGTATCAGTAGTGACATTGTACTGATCTCAATGGTGATGGTATTGTGCACGTGGTGATGGTGTTGGTGATGGCAGTGTATCAGTAGTGACATTGTAATAATCTCATTGGTTATGATATTTTGTTGATGGTGATGCTAAGAGTGATCCTCTTTGTGTGTGCGTGTGTGTGTGGTGGTAGTGTGTCAATAGTGATCATATAGTGCACTGATAACAGCCCAACGGTGATGGTGTTGTGGTGATGGGGATACTGTTTTTGGTTGGGGTGGTAGTGTGTCAATAGTGACATATAGTATGCTGACAATAAACCAATGGCGATGATATTGAGGTGAAGGGGATGCTGGTAGTGCAGGTAGTGCCAATGGGGGTGGTATTGTAGCAGCAGTATAGTACGTATTTCAACTAATACTAGTTTGCGTTAGAAAAAAATTGTGGAAACTATATATACAGTCATTACCAGTGCGGTTATTGCTACTTCTATTGTTGTTTATAAATTTTAATGAATTTTGATATTTTTGACTCAGGTCTGGTTCAAGAACCGCAGGGCAAAACTGCGTCAATTGAATAAAGGGCAATCTAAATCATCTCCAAAACCAACAAAAAGGAAAACCCCATCACCAGAACCACAACACAGTAAAACCCCATCTCCACCCGTCACCAATCACTACCCTAACAGTAACCCATGGCAACAACAAGCAGTAGACATGAGAATGCCAATGCCTCGATCAAATTACCAGCCACCAAACATGATGAATGGAATGATGGGTAACGTAATGAATGGAGCATGCGCAGTAGGTGGATCTGCCCCGAGGTTCATTCCTCCTCACCCACCACCGTCAGCATACCACCATCCTCCACAGGACTATCCTTATATGGGCAATAATAATGGTGTGTCAGTAAACAACAACATGGTGGGAAATCCCAATGGGCCTCCCAATTATTATTCATCTGCTATGTTATAAATGAAATACATATATATAAATAAATATACATATATATAGATAGATAGATAAAAACTCATTCATATGTATATATTATCGTATAAATCAAGTTACGAGAAAATGATTTGTGGTTTTCAAACTTGTTTGATTGTTGAATTCAAATTGTAAGTACTAGTGCATGTTGGTCTATCTCTGCTATTCTCGTTGAGTCAATAAGTTTCTATAGTTGCCAAAATATAATCCGTTTTGAAAATACAGCTATTTCAAACAAAGTTGGTGAAGGTTTTGCTGCATCTTGCATACCAAGCTCGAAATGCATGTTTTTCTGGTATATTTTCTTCTATGCTGACATTATTTGCATATAAATATAATACATTTCAAGCTTAATTCTCGACTTTCACATCCCCATAATGCCTTGCGTTTTGGGGGGGGGGGGGTAACCAATCAAAAAACTGTCCCAAATTGAAAGATTTCTTAATTGAATTTATACTATACCTGCTTTTATCTGTACAATACTGATTATCCGTTATTCCAAGTTATTTTTGCGTGTACAGATCATCAAGAGTTTTGGTCTTTTTTGGTATTTTCAACATTGTCTGATCAACCTTCAGCAAAATAAGTGGGTTTTTACCCTCTGGTTAGCCCCCAAAGACGCAAAGGATTATGAGGGTGTGAAAGTCGAGAATAAGCAACATGCAGCAAGCAGCATGCAACATGCAACATGCAACCAAAACGTTCACCAACATTTTTTTTCTTCAAATAGCTGTATACCTCTTGTAGTAATTACAGAAATACAGTAGGGAGCACACTTCATAAGCTAAAATATAAGATAGAAGCTAACTTTCCAGAAATATCTGTCTACATTTTGTGGATTCTCAGTATCAAAAATCGATAAAGTTATTTATTATGAATTTTAAAATATTCACGAATGTGTTTCTCGACCATTGAGGCCTCGTAGCTTCATGAGCAGATTCAATTTTACAAAATTATCTAGTTATTGTTTTTACTGATTTAGAAAGAATGTAAGCAAAGTCGAAAGTAAGTATGCATGATTAAAACCTAGTTTAATAATGGCTAGGTTGCATTTCAGTTCAGTGATAATAAAATTTATCTTTGCTACAGACCAATGATGTTACAGCCCCTGTTGTTGAAATATTAAAGTGTTGAATACAGAATGTCTTAACAAGCTCTATTTATTCTGGTGCGAGTTCAAAGCAATATCAAAAGTATTGATGGTTTTCACGGCGGCCATGTTGGAATAACTTGACAAAAGAATTGCCAATAAATCCTTTTGTTGTATCCTCCAACATGGCCGCCGTGTCTTTTGTTATTTAATTCTCTTGGGATGGTTGAAAACCATCAATATTCTAAGTATACAATGCTTTTCTCGAGGCATACCATGGAATATCCCTGGAATATGCGTATCTTTTAGCAAAAAAACGAGCGTCGGTTGTGTCGGAGTATACAGTGCAAGAAAGTTCAAGTGATAGAGTAGTTTTCGCATGACTGTGAAAAGTTCAGTGCCATAACCGTGCCGTGCCGTGATGTTTTCTAGAATTTAAATTGGCTGATCTTTTTCTTTCCCTCGCGTGTAAGGAGAGAAAATTCTCGAGCAATGTGATTTATCTGGCGTATCCCTTGTCGTGTCACGACCGTGTTCGTGCCGTGCGTTTTTCACCGAGTCATACGAAAACTGTTCTAAGGAGGATATTCCATGCCGTACAACGAGAAACCATTGTATAACTGTTTTATGCCAGTAAATCTACCACAATGCTTGACGCGAAGGAAAAGAAAAAAAGGGAGTGAAGGACCATAGAACGGCATGTGATAGGTTGTATTTCCAATGGTGTGAGATAAAAACTAGTATGATTTTGATGAACTAATGAACTATATCGACATTATTATACTCTGCGACGGACTACCGGACTACTTGTGGACTCACAAAGTAATGACACAATATTTTTAGAAAGCTATCTTTCACAAAATATAACGCTAATTCCAAAAATGAAAAGAAAAATGGGGTGTCCCGAGCTCGTTTTCGAGAAATTGAATTTTGAATATTACCATCTTGACACGTTTTCGAAAGAAAAATAGCGAAATCGAGCTCGCGGAAAAAAATAACGATGCCATGGAAGTAATTTTCTCAGGACATCTACTGAAACATTGCTAATTCCAAATTTAGCATTTGTTTGCTTAATAAAGTAAAAAAACATTTTCCATAAGTAAAAATTTTTGTTTTTAGACAAATTTAGCTAATACCAATATGTGGGAAACATATAAAACATGGTCGTTTTCGAATTATTCAAATGCCGCTGCGTTCCTTAATTACAGAATCATTTATACACAGGGTAAAGTATTTTTCACTTTACCGTTGGTACTTTTCAATATTTGGACACTGAAATGAGACTTTGACTAAGGTCAACGTCGAACTTCACTAATTGAAACAATGGATAACAAGGCCGTCTGCTTCGATGTCTTTAGGTTCGGCTCATGTGAAGTTCGACGTTTGCCAGAGTCTAAGCCTCATTTCAGTGTCCAAATATTGACAAATACCAATGTTAAAGTAAAAAATGCACAACTACAACAATACAAACACTTTGAAATTCCACAATCATTCCATACAAATCGAGGCTAACCCTGTAGTACAGAGAATTCGAAACTGCAGTATTCTTATAGGAGGCCATAAAGAACCCTTGCAGCACTTTGGAATGCAGCTCAATCTAGAAAACAAAACAATAGATTCCAAATCTCATGTGGTCGGAATTCTTTTGCATTGACGTCACGCGCAAGGGGTCTATTGAATTTGCTTTAGAATGACTGTGCGTACTTTGCAATGAGGTGCGTCGACTGAATTTCGGCTTACATTATTTCACCTTTTCATCAGATATCACTGTGTATTTGATATTATTGTCGTTGTTGTTGTTGCGCAATTTTTTACAATTTTTTTCACGTATATATGGTATGCATTCCACACATCTTGTAAACTAAGAATAAAGATCTAATTCCGCTTTCGAAAAAATGGCAAACGTACGTAATATCCATCTCCATTTTGACCTTGAACTTGAGATAACCTGACATCATAAATGTAATATCTGCACGATACAGATAATATTTTTATCATATCAAGTTTACTCAATATCTGAGATTGGCCGAAGGCTCTTGGCCGTTGGGGCCTTATCTTCTATGTTGATTCTGCGCAATGATTCTGCGCAATGCAGCTGTTGCATGATGACCTAATTTTACTCCCACTACCAGAATGCTTCACGAGTTTTCTTTTTTGAGTTCATTTTTATTATCTTGCGAAAGTATTTGGTGAACATCTTTTAACCAGCAAAATGCATGTGAGCGGTTTTCGTATAAGTACGAAAACATACGATACTAGTATATGCAACTCGTACGCGATCATTGTCTTCCATTAATTCATCGAATCACAGCGCGTTGTTACGGCTATGGTAAGACTACGAAATGGAGCCTTCTCAAAAGTATCGTGGATGCGATGCTAACATGAAAATACAAAAGAAATCACACTTTTTCTCGATGGAATTTGTGGCATTTCTTTTGTATTTCCATGTTTGCCTCTCATTCAAGACAATTTTGAGAAGGGTCCATTGCCTTATCTTATCTTTTCCCACTCATACGAAAACCGCTCTATATTGAAAAAACCATTTGATTTTAAGGCTTGATAGCTAATACTGCATCCAAAAGATTGGAATGAGTATATTTTACTTGGACATCTTTGAAACCATGTTTCTCCAACAAGCGCTTGTAATCTAATCCAGAACTTTCGCGGCCATCAGAAATACAGCGCATGATGAGAGACCAGTACACGGGGGTCATTGGGCCATTCCTGTCGTCATATATAAGACGTTCTCCTAACAGAACACCTCCACCTAGAATCACAAAGAACCATAAAATAAAATCATTCCAATAAACATGGACAATTCTAACAATTCTAATTAAGCACAGTTATAACCCAATAAATAGGTCAAATGAAATGGATACAAAATATTTTAGGTTCAAATTTATTGGGGGGGGGGGGGGAGGAGCGGGGGGTTGTTTTGGTTTTCAAAAGCCGCACTTTTCGCTAATAGTGGTCTATCACTAATAGACCACTAGAAGCTCAGCCAATCAGAGTGTAGGATTTGTAATACACCATTAGTAGGTTTATACTAAAACGTATTATAGCACAAGTACGTTTTTTATTTGTAGAGAAGTAATAGCTTATTTTAAAGCAAACCCACTCATATCTTTCTTGGAAAAATCCATGCGCCTACTGACGACAGGGCAGGAAAACGGTTTTTAGCCTTTCGCCATAAGGACAGCTTTATGTATTTAAGCTCAATATTTTGTAAACACGTTCTTTTGGAGCCAAATAGCAAAATATCAAATGCGACCAAAATTTATTAAATGCGTATTTGAGATATAAAGCCGTGTACTTTGGGAGAGGTGATATTTTGATCAGCAGAAAAACTAGCTAAAGTAGCTTTTACTTTAATTCGACAAAATTTCGTCACAAGTTTCGAGCAGCAGTGACACAAATGAAAGGCTTAAAAGTTTGGAGTATTAAATTCAGTTGGGTAAAGGAATAGTGAAAGTAGCGGGCTTGTCGCTTTTCTGCCCTGTTCTTACTGACGTATTTCCGCACGATCTATGTTGAATTATATAAAAGGGCAAATTACCAATCAGAGCGCGCGTTTTATTTGAATTATTTATAATTCATGATTAAAGATAAGAACTGAACGTTACCTGATGGAAGGTGGTTAAATACGTTATCTAAAATGGCGTCACATTCAGCTGGACCCCAGTCATGAAGGATGTGTGTCAGTACGTACAGGTCAGAGGGTGGTAGACTAGGCTTGAAGAAGTCTCCTCCTACGAAGGTGACATTTTCCTGGTTTGGACATTCCTTCAAGGGCGGCTTAAAGTGTGATGAAACCTCGACAACGTTGGGCAGATCAAACACGGTGATTTTCATATTTGGGTAGGCCATACACATAGCATACGCAACGTCACCAGTGCCACCTAATTTTGGAATCAAATATTAATTATTATATGACTGCATGACAATACAATATACAATACAGTACGTAAACTTCATCATTATATGGCAAGGTAATTTTTACGCGCTGATTGGTCAATTTGCGGTCAATAACTTACGGTACGGACCGAAAAATGGAATGGTTCACTGAGTGTACTTAGGATCTTTTATAAATTCATTCGAAAATAAACTAAAACCTCTCTTTCTGAGCGACTCAAACATACATGACTTGTGGCATGCACAGGAAGCCCTTCCAATGCAGTTCTCGTTTGGCATGCGTCTGTCAATTTTACTTTTTTAGCTCCGCCTCTTTTTACTCTTAATGCCTTGCCATATTTTAACCTCGTTTGCTCGGTCCGTACCGTAAGTTATGGATCCTCGTTTTCCCCACTTCTTTTATGGCCCGCGCGCTACGTATATCGCTTGGGCCATAAGGCAGTGGAAAAAACTCTGTCCATAACTTACGGTACGGACCGAGCACTCGGTTAATAAGAGCTATTTACTGACGCGGTTTTCTTTGTTATTCGTAGTGCTTTTCTACCCCATATAGACCTCTTGTATGTGACGTCACAACAGCTCAATTTGGAGGACAAAACAAAATAATTTCAATCTCCTGAGAATTGGAGAATGTTTTTTTTTTTTTGGATCATCGTTTTTCAGCATTAAGCCGCAGCACTGTGTTTTTCGTGACAAATCGAACTGAAATACTTTGGAACGGGTCTTGGACCCCTGAGTTAAAATCTCGTTTATTCCTATTTCCAAAAAGAAGTGGTCATTACCAAAGGTGATAGGGAATAGGCGATAGGAGAAAAGCGATAGGAGATAGGTCATTCTCAGATCGAAGAATAGCTGGAATGACTCGTGCTTCTGCTTCTCGTCAAGAACATGAACCCTAGTGTTGAGACTTATTCATAGTTATTTGTATTCAAGGAAACCATTTCCATGTCGGAATGACTAATAGCATATCGCCTTTGGTGACGTTTTTTGAAATAGTTGTATACCCATGGGGCTGTATGATAAAGGAATAGGGACAAAAACTGTTGCGTTTGTCTCAGCCACGACTG